ATAGTTGCTTCTGATATCAACATGCTCACTGTTTTGTTTTTTGCGCAGATGAGTCCTGCTGATTTTCTCATGAGTCTCTTCAAACTGTTTATGTCTGAAAGTGATGTACCAACATCAGATGTTCAACTACATTGGGGTGATATTCTTCATGAACGTGGTAAAATAAGCTCCATGATGGGGCTTTTTTTTTCTTGAATGCATGGAAAAGAAGCAGCAAACACCTTGGAAATAGCAGGTATGGTTTACTTGTTTCAACAGTTGAACAGGATCTGTTTTCAGAATAGCACAAAGTCTGTTCAAGTCTCTGTGTTTAGATCAGTGTGCTCAATAATGTAACTTTGACCTTCATTATGTATATTTTGATTATATTGTGTTGTAAATAAAATCGAAACAATAAAAACAAACAACGAAAAATAATTTTAATCTCATATTTTTTCTTACCTGCCTCACAGTCACATTCTCACAGTTTAGGTGCTTTATTGGCATGACAAATATGTGTACATTCGTATTGTCAAAACAATGCAGCGTTGCTGCATACAATCAAAACAGTGCAAAAACTGTGGCCACTCTGATGTGCCATTAGGGGAGGGTCCTTTGTCTCTAAGGTGCGAATCACATAAATGTTCATGGTCATTGTCACTCCCTCGCATACAGCCTTTCTAACACAAAACATGTTTTACAAAAGTTAGATCAATATATAGTTTTCTGTGAATGAGCGAGCAGGATGATTTTTCACATCATTTTGGCTGCATTTACACTGCAAATCTGGATGCCCAGATCAGATTTTTTGGACTATATCCGATATTTTTGATGAACCGCTTATACCTTTTAAAAGTAACCCATAACCCTTAACTTAAACAATGCCTAACGTGGCTCAATGCATTAGAGAGTGACCAAACTCTGCACACACTTTATTAACAAAGCATACTATGAAAAGCAGATGAATCCCGAATATGAATGCAATGATTTTAACTTATTGACAGAACTCGTAGGAACTTTTTTAATGTGATAGTTTCATCCTTACATCAAAATCATTAATTACAACGGATACTTCACGACAGTGATTATATACACAGATCCACTGTAAACATCCAGGGGTTTAGCGGTTGAACTTGTGCTATGCATATTAGCGGTTCTGGGTTCTAATCTGCCCTCGTATAGTTTTTTTCCTCATTAAAACCAAATGTGTTCATCAGTGATTGTATATCAAGAGCAGGGACATGTTTTTGTGCATTTTATTTTGTGATTTCACCTGAATGAAAAGAGAGTCTCCACAACAGTTAGCAATAGATTGAAGTGCTCGTATGTGCACAGGCCACCATCACTGATAACAGCGGGAATGAGCACTCAGCATGATTTTAAAAGCAACACATTTCAGCGCCAGATCGCCTCTTACTTAACACAAACGAACAAAATTAATACTCTGCTAGTCAACTAGAGATGTTTCATTTGTAATAGATATATCTGCACCACGAGCTGTTTCAAAAACATTTGACATGCAACTCGCATTAACAGTAATATCCGATCTGTGCGCTTACAGGGCAGGTGCAAATGCACGTATCCAATTCATATTTATTTCCACATATGAATGAGGACTAAAACCGATCTGAGAATATCCATGTGCTTTTTCCTGCTTACATGTTTGTGGGCCATATCAGATCTTTGCCATATGGGAGGAAAAAAAATCTGAATTGGGCCACTTGAACCATGCAGTGTATGTGCATGGTTCAATGTAGCCTATGTAGCAAAAACTCTAGTCTACCACATCCAGTTCTCAAAAGTCTTGTGAACAAATGTTCTACCACATCATTTTCTCAAAAGTCTTGCAAACAAATGTTCTGTATGTGTTTTATCGCCTTATATTAGTGACTTAAAAAATACTTTTTTCACTAACCATGCATAAACCCCCTCAGAGCCCAGAGGGTTAAAATGAAAATGAAAATACATAGTATACAGTATATGCAAAAAATTTTCTTAATATAGTTTCTATAGATTTTTTAACTATAGACACCTCAGGTTTTCCCCAAGAAATGGTTGTGGTTTTTTGTTGCTGTTATTGTTTTTTTTTTCAGAATTGGCTAATTCTGGGGAAAATAAATAATAAGTAAAGACACATCCACATATACAAGGTACATATATGAAATTATACACATCTAGAATCAATAGAAAGAGAGAGTTATATGAGTTTGGAACAAAAAGAGGGTAAATAAATGATTTTCATGAATTAAAATTTTTAGGTGAGCTGTCTCTTTAAATCCATTGAGTGTCACATCTGTTCCAACTGGCTTCTTATTACTGTAACACAAATATGAAATATCAGGTTTCTCCATATATTAAAGTTGTGTGCTCCTGTGTGTGTGTGTGTGTGTGTGTGTGTGTGTATGTGTGTGTGTGTGTGCGTGCAGTGGTGTAATGTAACAGAGTAATAATACTTCGTTACAGTACTTAAGTATTTTTTGGGAGTATCTGTACTTTACTTGAGTTTTTATATTTCAGCCGACTTTTACTTTTACTCCACTACATTTCCTAATTAAAATGTATACTTTTACTCTGATACATTTCCCCAAGGCATATTCGTTACTTACTACAAAATAGTCAGAAGAACACAAACTGCAAGCAAGCAGGTTTGATGAATCAGTGGTCTGGTGCTTGCAAGTTAGACTCCTAAAAAACACCTTTGCTATTGTGCAAACAAGTGTGCGCACAACCGCGGGTGATTTCATTTTCCACTCAAGCCGAATCTGGGGTGTGCGATATACAGTATTTCTTCTGCGGTAATATGATAAGTGTTGTTTTAATGATGTGCAATCTGACATTATCAAGTAGACTAACGTTATATCACCAAATCACACACACAGAGTGCACGCACGTTGATTTATTAGTCTATTAAAACTCTAAATTCCGGGCATTCTAAACTGTAGACGGCAAAAATGCTTCTGTATGCTTTTTATATTTATATAATTTAATAGGCTATAGTTAACTTAATCTATATCACACAAGGAGTACCGTTTTTCTGAAGATATTAGCATGATAACACATTTGACGGGGGAAGTCGTGGCCTAATGGTTAGAGAGTCGGATTCGTAATCCAAAGGTTGCGTGCGGGTTCGAGTCTCATACGGCAGGGATTGTAGGTGAAGGGAGTGAATGTACGCTACATTCATAGAGCGCTCTCTTCCACCTTAAAAACCACGACTGAGGTGCCCTTGAGCAAGGCACCGAACCCCGAACTGCCCATAAATGGCTGCCCACTCACCGTGTGTGTTCACGGTGTGTGTGTGTTCACTGCTGTGTGTGTGCACTTAGGATGGGTTAAATGCAGAGCACTAATTCCGAGTATGGGTAACCATACTTGGCCACATATCACTTCACTTTAATTTAATAATCATTTTATACAAGTTCAGTAAAGCAATAAGTGACTTACATTTTAGACATAATGTTGCTTGTTTTTGCTAAATTTTGCCAACGAAAATAGTTCCAAAAAAAAGATCACAGCACTGTTTTGCGTCACTGTGTTTACTTATTGAACAAATCAGCTTTTTGAACAAATCAGTTGAATAAATGATTCAGCGATTCACTCATTAACACAGTCAAATGTGTTGTTCCTGAATGAATCAGTCGTTTGAATGAATCGGTTGAATCTCAATGACTCACTCATTAACAGTCACTTGCTGCCACCTACTGGCGGTTTTATTTTTTTCATGTTTTAAATCATTTCAAATATCAGTATTCAACGTTTTATGTTAAAAACAAAACATTATTTATCCATCTGTTACTGCAGGTTAAAGGCATCCATGTCCCCTATTTTTTGCTAAATTTTGCCAACGAAAATAGTTCCAAAAAAAAGATCACAGCACTGTTTTGCGTCACTGTGTTTACTTATTGAACAAATCAGCTTTTTGAACAAATCAGTTGAATAAATGATTCAGCGATTCACTCATTAACACAGTCAAATTGTTGTTCCTGAATGAATCAGTCGTTTGAATGAATCGGTTGAATCTCAATGACTCACTCATTAACAGTCACTTGCTGCCACCTACTGGCGGTTTTATTTTTTTCATGTTTTAAATCATTTCAAATATCAGTATTCAACGTTTTATGTTAAAAACAAAACATTATTTATCCATCTGTTACTGCAGGTTAAAGGCATCCATGTCCCCTATGAGATAGGCCTACATTAAACTGTGTATATACATCTAAATGCTATTTCAGATGCAGATTCCAAAAATGTTTTATGTTGGAATGAAAGACACTATATGAAGTGCTTCTTATTCTTATCCAAAAATACAAAATGGAAGAAAGAGTTAAAACTGAAGACAATCTTGCTACTCAAGCTGTGTATTAACATTTTTTAATATATATTTATTTGCTTCTTTTCCATTTTGCATTTACTTGTACTTTCAATACTTAAGTACGTTTAAGATTTTAAAAATACTTTTCGTACTTAAGTACAATAAATATCACATACTTTAAGACTTTTACTCAAGTAATATTCTAAACGGTGACTTCAACTTCTACCAAAGTAATTTTCTGGTAAAGATATCTGTACTTTTACTTGAGTATGGCTTTCAGGTACTTTATACACCACTGTGTGTGTGTGTGTGTGTGTGTGTGTGTGTGGCTATACGTGAACAAGCGTGTGGAATGAAAGACAGAGATGACTCATTGGTCACGCCTGATGAATATCACTTGTGCTTAGAAGGAAGCTGTAAATCAGAAGTGACCCTTATAAGAAAGTGTGCTGGCTGTCATTCACTGGGAAGGATTACCTCATTAGGGACCACAAGCATTTAGCACCTCTGCTCTAATTACTCCCCTTTACCTACAGTATCACTATGAGTCATCACTAGTGTGCCGATTACCATGTCACTAATGATGGAGATTGCATAGTTTATAAAACATTATTATTAAAATATTTGTAAATATATTCATATATCATGCATAATTCCTGCTGATTTAGTTTCTTTGGCTAACCTATGTTTGTTTTTATTTTGTTAACAGGATTCTGGCCACAGCAGGAGCCCACATGAATATTTCATTAGACCTGCGCACGCTGAGGGCTGTGAGGGTATTACGGCCCCTTAAACTGGTTTCTGGCATTCCTAGTATGTTTATGGTTCTATATGAAGTTCTTAATCACACATTGTGTTGTTTCATTTGAAATGAGGAGTATAACGCTGCCTCCTAATCAGGTGCAAAGTGACAAAACAACATAAATCCAGTCACAACTGCAACAAGCTACATGCAAGGAATTTACTTTGTTGCTAGGTGTCTAATTATCTGGGTAGCTGCACAGAGAAATCTCATTGGTCCAAAATCCCACTCCACGAACCTTTAATTTGTCACATAGCACTTGGTTAGTACACAGTGTTATAGTTGTTCTTTTACATGTGGATGCTGTAGTGTTAAAGTTTTTCCACATGTGAAGGAATGAATAGTACATTTTGATATATTTATGTGTAGTTGATAGGTTTATTGATATCTATATATATTCATGTTTTTTTAAAGGTCTGCAAATAGTTCTTAAATCCATAATGAAGGCGATGGTGCCACTGCTACAGATTGGTCTGCTGCTGTTTTTTGCCATTCTCATGTTTGCTATTATCGGACTGGAGTTCTACAGTGGAAAACTCCACAAAAGATGTGTAGCTTATTCAAACATTACAGGTAAAGAGGATCACACTCCGACAGACACAAGAACATGCACAGACCCACACATCCACATAAGTACAAACGTAGAGTACAGAAATATGAATAATTATTACATTTATGTTCTTGTCAGATGGCTGGGATCCAAACAAAATGTTTAAATCTTTAGAATACTCAAAAATTACGAAAAATGGAAACAGAAGTTAAAAAAAAGGTTTGGTTTTTGTGAAAGTTGGGTCACTAATAACTCCGTCTCCTTAAAGGGATAGTCCACCCAAAAATTAAAACTGTGTTATTATTTACTCCCCTCTCAAATCTTTATGCATTTCTTTCTTCTGTAGAACACAAAAGAAGATATTTTGAAGAATGTTGGTAACCAAAGTTGAGTCTAAGTTGGGTCCCATTGTCTTCCAAAGTATTTTTTGTCTATACAGCGAAAGTCAATGGGACCCAAAACCATTTGGTTACCAACATTCCTGTAATATCTTCCTTTCTGTTCCACAGAAAAAAAGAAAGTCATAAAGGTTTGGAAAATCATGAGGTAAAGTAAATAAATTTTCATTTTTGAGTGGACTATATACACATGCATTTTATTAAATAACAAAATATAAGATTGCTATTGACAAGAATACTATTATTCACATTTGCAAGAGCAGAAAATAAAATTTGCCAATCCCTCACGGGTCCATACAGACCTGCCAATCAGAGGCTTGGCTTGGCTCCTCCCATACAGGAAGTAAACATTTCGTAATTCTGTTGGCCTCTTCTATTAGCTGCATGATAACAAACAGTAAGGGTGTATTCACACTATGCACAGTTGCCTTGAACCGAGCGTGATTATCCCACTTCCCCACTCCCTCACTGGCCTGCACGCACACTTGCACTACACGCTTACGTCATGCAGATAACAGGGAGAAAACCACTTTCACTAATAGACTGCCTAATAAATTTATCATTTAGCCCGAGCAGCGATTTTCACTTGCGTGTATCAGAGGATCATTACGGAGGCAGCTGAGGTTAATGAAAGAATTTGCAGCTTTACTCACAAACTACAATTCCTCTTCATCAGTATGGTGAGAACCAGACCCGTTATAAACCTAAATATACTTGATTTAATTAAATGAATTGAAAGCATACTGTAGTAGTAGTAATAGAACAGTAGCGCACACAAAATAGTAGCTGTTCCGAGCCCAACTGAACCGTGCTCTGGCCCACCTCTTCCAAGCGAACCAGGGATGGCCAAATGAACCACGCCTGGACGCAGGACGGAGCGATCACACTAGTCAAACAAACCAGTCAAACCGGTCAAACTCGCTCCGGCACGGTTCAGATCGCCTAGTGTGAGTACACCCTAAAACAAACAGAAAAATGACACAGATACGTTATTAAAAATTAAAAAGTTGACAACTTATATAGTCAATATGCAATTCATGACAAAAGCTATTTATTTATTTGTCTTTCTCATCTCATGCAGACTCTGAGAGAGCAGACTCATCTGAAATTGATTTCCCATGTGGGGCCAAGAATTGTCCTGAAAATTATAACTGCTCCGGCCCGTGGCCCGGACCCAACGATGGCATCACTCAGTTTGATAACATCTTATTTTCAATACTCACTGTCTTCCAGTGCATCACCATGGAAGGCTGGACAGCTGTACTCTATAATGTGAGTTTCTCTCTCAGCTGACTGATGTGTAGCAGTTTTCTTTCTGTGCTTGAAATGATGTAGGATGACCATACTTCCCCTTTCTCTCAGACATGTCCTGGCCAGGACTTCTAAATTGCCTAAAATGTCTGCATTTTGGCTTTGTTTTCCTACTGACGTCAGGTGTGTTCGATTTGAAGCGGTGCTGCACAGAACAATCAGTGTATGACATCAAAGTACCGCGAGAGCGATTCAAAAGCATAAGCCGTCTGCTCTCTTATCGCTTTAGCAGTACTATGGTGTCATACACCGATCGGTCTGAGCAGCGCTGCTTGAAGTTGAACACACTTATGCTCTCTACAGTCCTCATACATTATGTAATGTGTATTTACATTGCTTTGACTGAAAGCCATTGGTTGATTATGTACAATGCCTGCAAGTTATTCAAACCTATTTTTCAGTCATTACTTTCGGCAGCTATGAAAACAATAGCATAACAAAGCCAAAACCTGAAATCCTGGCCAGGACATGTCCAGGAAAAAGAGGAAGTATAGTCACCCTAAATGATGACGCTTCTGTATTATAACCCTAATACATAAAAATATAATCTTAATCCATTGTAATCCAGTGTTGAATCATTACTTCATGTTAAAGACATCCTCAGGAGATCTCGCTTGAACATTAATCTACCACATTTTGTTTGTCAGATGAAACAGGGTTATTAGCTTCTTTGTAGTATTTCATATTTTATACATTTTAATGGCTGGTTTCGAAGCTGGTTGAGTCTTTTGGTTGGATGAGTTCAAACCCTGCCTTTTCTTTTTGTTGATACCGTGATTTTGGGAGTCGCTGATCTGTTGTGCTCATGCTGGCATCTTACATTTACGTTGTTTCCTAATCCTGTTCCTTCTGTTCTCCCCAAAATAAGAAAATAAATAATTTGAATTTTGAATTATCAAATTGCACTTACAGATGGTCCATTTTAGCTGAAATAGTTGCAGTTTAGGTTTGAAGAACTTCCTCTTTCCGTATTCTAGCCATCTGTGACCTATCGTATTCGTACACTGGTTGTACATACTGTATAGCATGCAACACTGTGTAGCTTTTCCCTGATTTCTGATCTTCTTTCAAGCCTATTCAAGCACAGTAGCATCTCCCTTTTCATAACAAGTCAAATTTAGAAGGGTTTGTCAGAGTGGTTTTATCTCCAAACAGCTCCAAGTACTGGAAAATGAGAGGTGTTAGACACAGTCTTTATTCTGCATCAGATTATTGGAGCTTTTGGTGGAATTAGTTTAGGTGGTTGACTATGATCATACTAGTGCCATTTATATGCTGAGTTGGCTCTACAATTCACTGTCATCCCGTAGTGCTGGTATCTGAGCATGGAATGTCATTTTTTTATTTTTAATATGTTATTTTTGTGGAGGACTTACTGAGACTTTCATGCATTTAGTTTGAGATAAAATATTTATACAACAAAGGGAAAGCATAGAGACCTTGTTTGAAGGAACTGGAAGGATTGGAGGTGTTACTGTTTGTACCTCTGTTGTTTATTCATGGTTTTTGAGGATGAGGGCATGTCTATATTGACTGATTTTACCAAGTGCCAAATGAATTTGCACCGAAAAAGACCTGCCATCCACTTTTGGGTTGTAACACCGCACAACATTCCATTAAAAGAAGAATTGTAATTATTGATTTTTAATGTGTCTTTAAAATATTGATTTCTGGTACTTCATGGAAAATTATCTGGTGAAAATGATCCTTTGTGGGCCCAAATACTTTAAAATGATTTTTAAAAAATCTTGATCTCATAATTTGAATGTCTGGAAAAGTGCACAGTGTTTTTAATCAGTCACATGGTGTCATGCGTTGACATGAGTCATGCTGCCACAGTTAGAGGTGTTTTTCACACTCATAACTGAGCTGTCGCAGCTGTGTCGGGATGCGGGGAACACCCTCTCAGCTCAGCTGGGCAACAATGTCGCCTGCCCACGGAGTGATCACACCCTTTGCACTGCTGAGCAGAGCTCAAAGGAATCATCACCATTACAAGTGCAGGGTTTATGGTTTTCTGACCCTTTTAACCCAGGCATTAAGTAGATTTAGGAGCTACTGCAAAATTTAAATCATAATGTATTATTTTCATTGTTTTGATCACTTCCTGTTTTGTGTTTGCACAGACCAACGATGCCTTAGGCTCTACTTGGAATTGGCTCTACTTCATTCCTCTAATAATAATTGGCTCCTTCTTTGTGTTGAATCTGGTATTAGGAGTCCTGTCAGGGTAAGTACTGTTTTCCGCAATGGACTCTAAGACAAACTGACACTACGTCTAACCTGATGTCTGAGCCGACCTTGGGTAATGAGTTTTATCAGAGGTTAATGTGAGATGTATTAACTTCATCTCTAGAGACAAGAGGTAAGATTAAGTCACTACACATACCGTGGCATTGTCTGTTTCTCTTTCTACACATATCTAATTTCTCTGTATTTATAACTACGACATTGCATGCTCTTAGTTTCATTTGCACTTTAATATGAAATTACATAGGCTACAGCGCACGCCGCCACATTTGTACATGCAGTTGAAGAGCACATGCTATGAGCACAGCATAATGGCTGACAGGACAAGAAAATTAGTTTTTACTGACATATGGCCTGACAACATATCATCTGACCGCAGTTCACTGTTCTACTGAAACTCCCTCATCACATGTACCTTTTTGAGTTTTACCATATCAGTTCGAGCCCGAGTCAGATTCTAAAAATGCAGATGACCGAGCCGAGCGATCGGAACCAACTTTGCAAGCATGACTTGAGCAGAACGTATCAGAGTGGAATGTGATGCTGCCAGTGTAAAAGCACAAAGGGTGCGTGCTGCTTCAGCTCTGCTTGAGCGTCCAGTGTGAAACAAAACATGTAGTACATCTGTTTGTCATCTTTTCGCACAGAAAACTGAGGATACTTTGTTTGTAAACATAAATCCATATCTGCACTTGTAATCGTAAGAATGACAAACAATATGCATCCCTCTACACATCATCATATTCCGCATTTGAGCAGTCAATAGTAAGTTGTACTGTTCTGGAACAGTGTTGTAAATAAATCTTAACCACTGATTTCTAATTGCATCCACTTTCAAAAGGCCAAATAAGTGATTTTGCTTTTGCAAAAAACACACAGTGTCTCCGTAACATGGAGGCAACAACACTAATGCGATACCTGAAACCACATCTTTCTTTACGTAGACATTTGGGCAGCATTATGCAAATATTCCCACATAGTGACGTAGATATGTGAGGGAGAATATAGATAGATAGATAGATAGATAGATTGTAAACTTGACTGACTGCATAAATCTTAACCACTGATTTCTAATTGCATCCACTTTCAAAAGGCCAAATAAGTGATTTTGCTTTTGCAAAAAACACACAGTGTCTCCGTAACATGGAGGCAACAACACTACTGCGATACCTGAAACCACATCTTTCTTTACGTAGACATTTGGGCAGCATTATGCAAATATTCCCACATAGTGACGTAGATATGTGAGGGAGAATATAGATAGATAGATAGATAGATAGATAGATAGATAGATAGATAGATAGATAGATAGATTGTAAACTTGACTGACTGCTTCACTTGCACTTTAACAATAGCTGTGTTTCCATTACCCTTCAAGTTGCGCAAATTTAAATTGAATTGCGAATTGAGAATACGCCAAATGGAAACACATACATTTCGCAAAAACTCCCATATATCACAAAAAAGTTTTTACACTCGCATGAGGTGGTTTTTCAGGCAATTTGAAAAAGGAATATTTAACAAAACTGCAATGGAAACAGGTTTTTCGCATTTACAGCTCAAACACCTCATACATGGCTGCTCCTTGCCGTTAATGCTTGAATAACCCCTTATTTACACTGCACAAATCTGCAGCGCATTACGGCTCCGACAAGGCCACCGAAGCTGATCACGGCCACTCTAGTCAATGCTTGTGTTTATACCAGTTCTATGTTCCAGAAGCGGCTCTCTGCGCTGCTTCGCTAAAGATACACGCCTTCATCTCCTTCGATTAAAAATAATGGATAGTGCGGTGGCTGCTCTATACATTAACCTACTAACATCCGTCACCATGACTTGTCGCGAGAGGAATACATTTTTAGTTTTAGTTTTAGTCGCATAACATCAGGTAATGGAAATGCTGGCATTTCGTTTTTTAATCAACATATATAAAATATTGCAAAAGTTTTGTGCAAATCTGTAATGGAAATGCAACTAATGATTAATGACTAATGACTAATGGTTTGAAGTCGGTGTGATTTCAAATTTAAAAAAAATTATGCAAATCAGGATGCAGCCTTTCTCTCTCTGCCTTTTTATTCCTTCAATCTGCAGGTGAAACACTTTAATAAATTAAGTGTGTCATCCCTGTGGTTATTCTCTGTATGAGTAATTGTATGCTGTTGGTTCATGTAGGGAGTTTGCTAAAGAGCGAGAGCGGGTGGAGAACCGAAGAGCCTTCATGAAGCTCAGAAGACAGCAACAGATAGAGAGGGAGCTGAATGGGTATCGGGCCTGGATCGACCGTGCAGGTACTCTTACATAATGGGCTGGCAAATGCACCATGCAAAACAAATGCAAAACAAAATCTGACCTTAGTAAAAAGCAGTACACATGATCGATGTCACAAATATTAAATATTTCTTATTCATTGGTTTCTTTGTTTACATTTTGCAAAATCCTTCTGTTAATATCCAGGATTAAATTAGATTTTAAATGCCAGTTTTTCAGTGAATTGTATGTGCACAACTTGATTAAATTTAAATGCGTTTTTTTTATTTCGCAGAGGAGGTGATGCTTGCTGAGGAGAACAAGAATTCAGGACCTTCTGCTTTAGATGGTAAGATGTTTGACCTCTGCTGTTTTTCTCTCATTTTCCCACGTACTGTAGATTGTGGGATGCAGTTTTTTAATTATGTGTCAGAGTTAGGGTCATGTGATTATTTTGAACACACTAGTAAATACGCATTCTCTCTCTGTCCCAGATTTCATAATTTATTCAATAGCCTGTTCTGGCATATAAAGCCTGTTCTGGTCCCATAAAACAGCACAGAGATTGTATATTCAATAGACTGATGTCACAATAAACAAAACACCATGATCCTGCTCATGGCGCACATCTGTGAAGCGAAAACCCACCACATGACATCCGAACCCTATACAAGGCGACAGGTTTTCCCCAGAATCAAACAAGTTTTTATTTTTTTATTTTTTATTAAATGTTGATTGACAGGTTCCCAGAGGCTGTGTGAATGGAAAACAGCCAGTTACCATGATGAACTCTTATTTCTTTGCCCCTGCTGTTCTCCTGTATGCATTCCATCTTCCCATTTAAGATGATTGTCTTAAAGGGGTCATATGATGCTGCTAAAAAGAACATTATTTTGTGTATTTGGTGTAATGAAATGTGTTTATGCAGTTTAAAGTTAAAAAAACACATTATTTTCCACATACTATGCATTATTGTTTCTCCTCTATGCCCCGCCTTTTTGAAACGTGTCGATCTTTACAAAGCTCATCGGTCTGAAAAAGCGAGGTGTTCTGTGATTGGCCAGCTATCCAATGCATTGTGATTGGCCAAATACCTCAAGCGTGAGACGGAAATGTTACGCCCCTCACCATACTGTTGATGCCGTGTCCGGCCGGGGCCCTATATAATTTTTAGGGGGTCAGGAGAGACTGAGACTGGTTTTGACCCTTGCATATGATGTTTGACAGCAGTAGGTATCCAGGCTGCACTCTGAAGGGAGTTGTACATTTTAAAACATAAAATGTAATTGCAGGCATTCATATTTACTTCATTGTTGCCATGACAACAGTGAAATCTAACAAGCGGATTTATTTGCAATTGAATGTATCCCTGACACCATGTCTACACCGGACGCGACAGTTGTCGTGTCGCTCCACGCCGTGCCGCAACAGCTAAAGTCTGTCTATACTGGACCGTTGTCTTTGACTGTCTACAAAGCGACCGTTGAAAATCATTTGAAATTTGTGTCAGTACGTCCTAAATAGAACGCAGCAGCAGCAGTTTAGACAGCATAATAGGTTCTATTGTATTTTGTCACGTCGCACTACTCGCGTCCGGTGTAAACACAGTGTTAGTGCAAGCTATTAGACTAGATGCTTTGATTAAATTTTTTACTTTCAGTAGCTGCTGTCTAGCCTGTTATATTCTATAAATGCTTGAAAAGTAAATGATTACAAAAGAGTGATGTTTGTACATTTGTCATATCATGTCCTAAGCTGGCTGCATCAAGTTTTCAGTGATACATAGTTTCTCTGTAGGCATTTAAAACATAAATTCTGCATGACTCAACAAAAAACATATTTGACCTTTATGATGAGTTAGTATCATTGTTTAATAAGAAACACAACAAAGTAAATATTTACCAGATAATATTTTAATAATTTGCTTTAGCTACAGTTTGGCTTTTCAATTTACCCTAGGATTACAGATGGAAATTAGCCACCCTGGCACATTTTACATTGATTTTATGCATTATTTAAATGTATTGTCCCTGATTAAATAAGGATTAAATAAACAAATAAAAAAATATATACATAGATTTTTGTAAGGTGATAACCATTTAGAGATACATAAAAATGTGAATGATTTTTATTTATTTATAATTGGAAACCTGTAATACAATAATTTCTGACACAACATGGGCAGGGCTATCCAGCGTGACATGACCGAAATACAAATCAAGGGACTGTCAATATTTTATAACCCATATATGCTTTTATTTCTTACAGTTTTTGGTTTATTAATCTGTTATTTGTTTAGTTTGAAATAACATAAATATAAGATAAGATAATAAGATAAATTATTTGGTATGTGGGTTCTCAGTGCTAAAAAGAGCCACCACAATAAAGAGAAGAGGGGTGGATGATGTTCGGAGATCTCCAGAGGAACAGTATGCTGACATATCGTCTGTAGGTGAGTGGCTTCCTCCCCAGGTCTCCTTCATATCGTGTCTAGGTGATGCAAAATATTTACCCACATGTCATTATATGCACGTTTTCAGAATATCATTCACATACAGCTGAAATCATCTCCTTATTCAATCAAGAAGTATAAATGTGGATCAAGTTGTTTTGCTTGTTCATAAATATTTTTGTTCATCAGGGATGCCATTGAACAGAGCCAGCATACGCAGTGCTAAAAGAGGACCGAAGTCCTATTTCCGTCGGAAAGAACGCATGCTACGGATTTCCGTTCGCCGTATGGTGAAGACTCACACCTTCTACTGGATCGTTCTGAGTCTGGTGGCCCTCAACACTTTCTGTGTCGCCATCGTACACCACAAGCAGCCTCAGTGGTTGTCTAGTCTCCTTTGTAAGACCACAAGCAAAATTAAACTTTTCACTCTATGTATATGCTGTCATACATGATCAATAGTTTTAACTTTAAAGTGGTTCCTTTCTGTTGCAGACTTTGCAGAGTTCCTGTTTCTAGGCCTGTTTCTTACAGAGATGTTTCTCAAGATGTATGGACTTGGGCCCAGACTCTATTTCCACTCCTCCTTCAACTGCTTTGATTTTGGGGTAAGTGTATTTCTGTCATCCTTTCCATAATCTTCTTTGAAATGTACAACAGTGCAAGTGTCAAAGAGGATCAAGGTGGTGACTCCAAAAATGAATGTTCATGGCATTTTTTTAATCAACAAAGATAAAAGCAGTGCAAAGAAATAAGAGCAGATGAAACTGTAAATCTAATTTGATCTTTTTTGAAGTTTCGCTTCTCCACTATGAACACTATGAACATGTCTCTAATTTCTATGTAAATTTGAGGACCCAGCACTGAATATCAATACGTAGCTTTATTTAATTAAAATTCAGTTTTAGTTCTGGACAGTGTCAATATATAATGGTTATCTTTTGGCTAATCTTTAATTTAATCAGAACATTTGTAACTGGCCCTTTCCATACAGATCCTGTTAAAAAAACAAATTTAATTAGTAAATCTCATGTTTTAGATAGATAGACAGACAGACAGACACATTTACCATTGTTTGGTTAAGTTTTATGGTTTAATTTCAGTAGGAATCCATGCAAAATATTTCCCACCACAGACATCGCTGCTTGGTTTGAGAGTGTTTGTTGTGCTCCATACATCGCTACACAACTGACAACAGAAAATTACCTTTTTTGCCTGTGAAATTTTAAACAAATTTTGCTAATGTGACCGCACCTATAGACAGAATTTTGTGACATATTTAAAGAGGTGAAATTCCTTAATTCCTTCCAGGTGATAGTAGGCAGTATTTTTGAGGTGCTCTGGGGGTTCTTCAGACCTGGCACATCCTTTGGGATCAGCGTTCTGCGTGCCTTGCGGTTGTTGAGAATTTTCAAGATCACAAAGTAAGTGCAAGCTTGCCTGGAATAAAAGTCTCCTTGGTTTGTTTGCTTCTTGCAGAGACGATAATCTATTTATTGACTTGTGATGTCTTTGCTCAGTTCTGGATGTCCCTATTTTGAACTCAGAGATGCTGTATTTATGTGTTGTTAAGGTACTGGGTGTCCCTGAGGAACCTGGTTGTGTCTCTGATGAACTCCATGAAGTCCATTATTAGTTTGCTCTTCCTGCTTTTCCTCTTCATTGTGGTCTTTGCACTTCTGGGCATGCAGCTCTTTGGTGGAAGGTAATATCTTATCAGTCTAAGCACAGACAACGCCTGTAGTCAGTTTTAAATGTGTATTTATGGCTGAAAATATCTGAATTCTACACCTTATTTATTAAAGAGTTATGAGCTGCTCTTTATATCATTTGCAATAACAATATTAAATCCTCAGAATGCTTTAATCCTGACTCAAAAATAAAGTGTTAAGTCCACCACCATGTCCATATTAAACATGGGATCAAATTTTATGCAAAAAAATAATGTTTGGAGTGGAACTATAACTCTATGTGACAGGTGTGGCAAGACAATAGAAAATAGATCAGGTTCAACCAGTAGGTGAAAAGCAAATAATACATTATTCAGTAACCTGGTCAGACACATATTGAATAAAATGGCTTGCAAATAGATTTTTTTTTCTTTCTTTACAGGTTCATCTTTGAAGACTACACACCCACAAATTTTGACACTTTTCCAGCAGCCATCATGACAGTGTTTCAAGTAAGATTCCACCCAGTTGTAATCGAAGTATAATACAAGACTCCGGATGTTTCTTGGTGAAAAATGGCTTAGAAGGAAGGCTAAATAATTAGACCAAGATTTAATTGCACAGATAGAGAGGAAATTAGGATCAGAGCACAGAACAAAAACATACTTAGTCACAAAACAGAATCTATCTTCCCTTTATAATGATGAAAATTAATACATATACATAGGTCCAGCACAGAAAAAATACTTTTAGGCCAAAACTAAATTTGTAGATTTAGCAAATTAGCTGAAATATTTAATAAACAGGCATGCAAGGGGAAGCATCTGTCAAATTATTCTGCTGAAACATGGGAAGCTCTCTGTGGAGTTACTCAGATGCAGATTCCATGTGGTCCTGAAATAAGTTCACTGTGTTTGTAGATTCTCACTGGCGAGGACTGGAATGAAGTCATGTACAATGGCATCCGGTCTCAAGGTGGCGTGAAGTCTGGGATGTGGTCGTCTGTCTACTTCATTGTTCTGACTCTGTTTGGAAATTGTATCCTACGTTTATTCTTTCTCTATCCATGACCACTAATACCTACAGTGTATATATACTGTATATAGGGTTAAATCTGTCCTCCTTAGTGTTGTGCTGTATTGCTGTATAGCTCATTGTTTTGAGCCAAAATTCTTGACAAAATGGTCAGATACACTGCTCAACGTCTTCTTGGCTATCGCTGTTGACAATTTGGCCAATGCCCAGGAGCTCACAAAGGTATATCCTGCAAGGTTCTTTTAGCTTTATATGCTGAAGGATTTGCAAGGCAATTGTATAACGAAAAACGCCTTACTGTTCCAAAGGATCAAGAGGAGGAGGAAGAGGCATTTAATCAGAAACATGCCCTGCAGAAAGCCAAGGAGGTTGGGCCAATGTCCTCTTTCATGTCCTCAGAGTAAGTGAACCAAGTACACCCTTGCCTGCTCGTTCGCCCTCTCACAAGAGATGCTAACATACCAACTAACACTACTAACACCAGTCTTATGTCTGAGATTTTTATTCTGGTTTCAGTTACATCTACAGTAAATTACAGTAAATATACAGTAAATGTCTGCCAAGTATACCTGTAGGACTTTGCAGCTTTAGTACCTGGCCAAATTGATTTAGATTCACATGCTAGTTTGAGTCTACAGGGATATTGCTGTACGGTTGCCAGAGTATGTAAACAGTTGAAGTCTTTGCTTTTACAGATATGTCTTCCACTCTGTACTGTTTAAATCTAATGTTACACAGTTGTTGAGCTTAAATGCTGATATGGAAACATTTGACGCTAGTAGAATTTATTCAATGGTGGGCCACAAAATTTTGCTGAATGAGAAGAATTTAGAAACAGTAAAGAAAAAGTATTACAACTTTGAGGGTTTTACTTTCCCACCTAGTTTGCGAGAGGCAGTTACTTGAGACCAACAAAATTGTTTACCATTGTTGAAGGTTGTACACAATGTTCCTTCGGTTGATTGCGTAGGGATTTTTGGGACTCTTTATTCTCAAAGCACAATAATTTGCTTCAAAATCAACAGCAAGTTGTCATAGCAACGGGCAAGCTTCCCAGTCTTTGCAAGGATGAGTCTATTATGTTGTCATAGAGACGACTTTGTTCACATTAAAAAGAGAGTTTTGAATGCCTTTACACTGGTCAGCCTGGATATGTAGTGATATGTTATATCCTTTGCAAGAACAGAAGAGGCATCCAGCTAGCCTAAATCTCAAAACATAAAGAGAATCTGATGGCTTAAAAGGCAGGTTAACTCACAGATGAAAGTTTCTATAACTGGAGTTCACACACAGATGCATCTTTCTGTGATTTTGGGAATTTAACACTGCATGGATGTGATGTCAGACTCCTGGAGTTGAGCATGTGCAAGTTGGGATGACCAGTCATAGTGTGTCCTCAACGTTACAATCCAATAACCTTTACATCTCTTGATTGATCATAGATGCTTTAGAAGCTAATTTCTGTTTTGTTTTTTGTTTTTTGATTTTTATTGATAGCACAGTACATTTAGTGACTTGAGTGAGTTTTGGATGCTGAATTGAGAGCAGTTATATATCATGAAAGTCACCGTAATCATGGATTCACCTCTGCTAACATGTTATTTAATGCTGGAGGTGATATATAGGTTGCTTCCTGAACCCAATACGTACTGTGACTAAAAGGGGAAAAAGTCAAGCGTGAAGTTTTCAGTCAAGAAATGTAAAAGCATGGTCCAAAATAACTTTTTGCCACACCTGCCTATGGCAAGTGATATGAGAAAAATAATACATGAGTGTGTATATATATAAATGACAATTAAGGGATGTAACAATTCACTTAACTCCAGTGCAGAACTATTTGAGCCAGTGCAGATAAATTAAGTTATTTCAGGATAAGACCCCCGATTGTAAAGCAAAACGTGATTGGCTATAGCGAGAACGTGCTACGATTGGTTAGCGAAGTGTGGCTGTTATCTGATTTGCTTAAGTAGACGTTGGGTGGAGTCTATACATTTGTTTATTTGTCAGCGTCTTGACGCTAGAAATGTTTCAAAATCCACAAATGCACAGTAAACCATTCACAAATGCACAGCAAGCAATCCACAAATGCGTGCAGCGATCTATAAATGTACAGGACGCGATTCACAAAAGAATGCCAGGCAAAGTTGTGTTTGTAACATAAAAATATATTTGTGATCATGTTTTTTTTAATTTGCAAATCTCATTATATTTATTTGTGAATTTAATTCATGTTTGTGAAACTCTAAGATTTGTGGATCTCATTCTATTTGTTTGTCAATATGTTTAATTTTTGTTAATATTTTTACATTTATTTGTGAGTCATAATCTATTTATTTGGAATTATGAAACAATTCTATCTCAATACAGTCAGTTCCCCCCAGAGAGACATTCATATAAACCCCCACCCCCAAATGTATCGCGATTCGTTTAACATATCAACTAACTTGAATCGTCACTTATTTTTATTGATTTTCAACCAGCTCATTACGTGCATCGTTACATCCCTAAAGACAATTGATTCATTTAGCTGTTTTCCTTGCCTCTTAGTGGCAAATAGCACAAACAGCATCTTGTGTCATTCACACTATCATGTACAAGATAAGTCAGTGTTTATCTCACTGTGAAACTGCACCTGTCATGACTATGTTAAGCTACATTGTGATTGTCTTTTTATTATATTCATTTGGTGGCTTAATGAGAGAAATATTGTGTCGCCACATGGAGTTCTGGAGAAAAAAAATCATTCCAGTCTCCTAGATAAACTTCTAATGGTACGTTTCCCACTGTGATTAAAGTTTTTAGAGGATACATGAGAATTTTAGTAGATAGTTTATATCTTTCTGATTTAAAACATTAATTTACATATCTTACATCATTCTTACAGTTTAAGTTGAATTGCAACATAATACATAATTTCTTATAGTTGCTAGCCATTGGCAAATTAGATTTCCTCAAATCCAGTTTTTATTCTCATTTGGTGCTTGGCAAATGTTATATTTGGACCCTGTGAAAACATTTATTGTAATATATATATTTATATACTTTTTTTTTGGCATGCTCGCAATTTTAAATACCTAATAACCAATATTTGTGATGAGTGTCATTGTATAGAAAAGAGGCTTTACTGTCATTGTTGTCATTACTGAGAGACGAATATAATACATGTTTGCTGGACAATTATTGAAAACAAAACCAAACAAACAGCATTCTGTATGAGGCAATGGAGGCCGTGCCTTTGTCAGAATAAATTGGTATGATGTGAATACCACAGGGTCTCTTCTCTACTGCATTTTGGGAGATAATGTGAGAGCTGGTTGTCAGTGAACTCAGTCTGGAAATTGTGGCCTGTGGCATTTGGATTTTGCATGTTTACTTCAAAGTTTAAAAAAAGGCTGTTGCAGCATGTCCGAAACTGCTTGACGAGAACTGGGAAATGAATGCATGTCTTCAGTTAGCATGACAACTATGGACGTCATCCCTGCGAAATGCATATGAATGACCAGTTGACTACTAAAGAAATGAATCAGGGTGCTCTCTCTTTCTGATATTGTGTGCTTATGCATATGGATCCCATTTTTATATGTCTTATATCTGTGCCATGTTTCTTACTGTCTCAGCATTTCAAAATGTTCCAGAATACTGTATTTGTTGCTTCTTATCTAATATAATTACCATCATGTTGTCATGTGACGCTTTGCTGCCCTGCTACGCAGCCCAAAACTTAAAACTTTAAAACATTAACTTTAGTTTATTATCAGCAATAGTATAAATACAACATGTTAAATGTTAAATATTATGTTAAATATAAAAATTGGCTGTAGTAGAGCATTGAAATGCTACTGAAAAACAGTATTTGTCTGGACTTCAGTCAATTACCTTTTTGGGCTGTGATGCTTGGCTTGTTTTGTCCTTGTTCTTGAAAGCACTAATGTCTTGTTTTCAACCAATCGCTCATTGATTACACGGACCACACAAGAGTACAAGTACCAGTAAGTAATAGTCTGTTTATTTCAATTTTAACATTAAGCACCGCCTAATTTATCTATCTGGGTGAAGCTTTCTGTTCCACCATCTTTATCAAATGTCTGATTTCACATTTTCAAGTCTGATCTTTGGTTGGAATTTGATTTGTCAGTTTCCTGCAATGATATTTCCTGCACTCTCTTTTCTCTCTCCATTCTGAATCAACTCTTTTTCCAGTTTCTATGTTTCGTTTTTCACTTTGATATTGCAACTCTATCCAGTTGTTTTCCATCTCTGCTGTCCTTAAAAGCTGGACCATGAATTCCAGTCACACAAAAATACAAAGTCATGAAAATAAAAATTAATGGACCCTTTCTACCACGTGTTACAGAGTACTTGTTAACAGCAGTCTGTTAAATATTTTGCCCACAGATACTTCAATTCTCATATTCAGCTACCCTGCTGACCTGACCAGTACACCTGGTCACCATGATGTTGTTTTTTTGATGCCGGTGCCCTACATATTTCTTAACTAGTAAGATGTTCATGTTGAACCAGCTGTCAACTGAATGGTCTAAGCCAGTGGTTCTCGACTGGTGGGTCGCAGGTTTGCTCGGGTAAACACTATATACATTATGTATTTAGAATATCAATATAAATAGGCTTTTCAACATTTAATAGAAAGGATTTTTTTTTTTTTTATTTTATATATTTTTTTTAGTCTTTTCTCTCACTTGATGTCCAATGTAATATAGAGCTCTGATGCGAAACCAGCTGAGAACCATTGGACTAAGTTGGTCTTTTCAGAAGGGTAGAAAGGGTTTTGTTCTGCTTATGAGTGATAATGTAATGTAAAACATTGTTGTGGCATGGCTGTTTAAACATTTAGTTTGCCATCCAGTCTTATTGTGTGTCCTCTCTCTTTTTCCTCAGGAGGAGGAGAAGGCCCTACCTGTACAGGAAGCGTGCAATTCACCGGAGCCGTGCGGCTTACTCCTTTGAGGATTCAGAGAGTCTGGCTGATGCTCGTCCACTCAATGCCTCTAACTCTTTCATGTCCAGGAGAGAGAGAAGGAGGAGATTGACCATGTCAGTTTGGGAGCAGAGGACCAGCCAGTTGCGCCGACACAGACAGATGTCCAGCCGCGAGATCCTTTTCAGCAGCCCCAGTGAGGAGCACGATGGACCACCTGGATGCCTTCACCACAAGAAGCCTGGGATATCTCCGTCTAACAGCAAGCGGATAGCCATCGAGACCACAACAACCACCACCATGCCGGAGGCTACCTTAGAGCCACCCATGGCTATGGACATGCCCGTTTTGTTATCTGTCCAATCAAAATCTACTTAAGTGCAAATTCATCTGTCACTTGGTAGAAGCTGCCCAAGTGTATTCCAACATGGGCAGGTGTGTTTTGTACAGTGAATTATTGGCTGCTAAGAGCACAAGTTCTTTGAAATTCTAGATAAATTTAGAAACCAAACATTCAAACTGCAAAGGTAAAGTTAAACTAAAAGTGAATTGTTAAATTTACATATTGATGGACCAAAACTCATGGTAGCAATAATAAATGTCAATGTTTCATTTTTGAGATTTTCAAATTCAAATAAATTTTTTAGAAGCTAAGAAGCAAACAAATAATAAATCAGCTAAAACATTTTGATCTTAAGGACATTTTTGTTGATTTATATATATATATATATATATATATATATATATATATATATATATATAATATATCTTACACTCGAAGTAGATTGATCTCCCAAAGCGATCACCAATTCGTCGGTCAGTTCCGACGTACGTCGAACGTGACCGACTGAAAGGGAACAGTATTTGTCTCGACTTTAGTCTATGACCTTTTTGGGCTGTGATGCTTGGCTTGTTTTGTCCTTGTTCTTGAAAGCACTAATGTCTTGTTTTCAACCAATCGCTCATTGATTACACGGACCACACAAGAGTACAAGTACCAGTAAGTAATAGTCTGTTTATTTCAATTTTAACATTAAGCACCGCCTAATTTATCTATCTGGGTGAAGCTTTCTGTTCCACCATCTTTATCAAATGTCTGATTTCACATTTTCAAGTCTGATCTTTGGTTGGAATTTGATTTGTCAGTTTCCTGCAATGATATTTCCTGCACTCTCTTTTCTCTCTCCATTCTGAATCAACTCTTTTTCCAGTTTCTATGTTTCGTTTTTCACTTTGATATTGCAACTCTATCCAGTTGTTTTCCATCTCTGCTGTCCTTAAAAGCTGGACCATGAATTCCAGTCACACAAAAATACAAAGTCATGAAAATAAAAATTAATGGACCCTTTCTACCACGTGTTACAGAGTACTTGTTAACAGCAGTCTGTTAAATATTTTGCCCACAGATACTTCAATTCTCATATTCAGCTACCCTGCTGACCTGACCAGTACACCTGGTCACCATGATGTTGTTTTTTTGATGCCGGTGCCCTACATATTTCTTAACTAGTAAGATGTTCATGTTGAACCAGCTGTCAACTGAATGGTCTAAGCCAGTGGTTCTCGACTGGTGGGTCGCAGGTTTGCTCGGGTAAACACTATATACATTATGTATTTAGAATATCAATATAAATAGGCTTTTCAACATTTAATAGAAAGGATTTTTTTTTTGTTATCTGTCCAATCAAAATCTACTTAAGTGCAAATTCATCTGTCACTTGGTAGAAGCTGCCCAAGTGTATTCCAACATGGGCAGGTGTGTTTTGTACAGTGAATTATTGGCTGCTAAGAGCACAAGTTCTTTGAAATTCTAGATAAATTTAGAAACCAAACATTCAAACTGCAAAGGTAAAGTTAAACTAAAAGTGAATTGTTAAATTTACATATTGATGGACCAAAACTCATGGTAGCAATAATAAATGTCAATGTTTCATTTTTGAGATTTTCAAATTCAAAAAAATTTTTTAGAAGCTAAGAAGCAAACAAATAATAAATCAGCTAAGATGCCTTCACCACAAGAAGCCTGGGATATCTCCGTCTAACAGCAAGCGGATAGCCATCGAGACCACAACAACCACCACCATGCCGGAGGCTACCTTAGAGCCACCCATGGCTATGGACATGCCCGTGAATGAGCAAGCTCTGTCCATTCCTATTCCTGAACCCCCTTTAGCTATTCCAATACCGGAGCCACCAATGCCTGTGGACATATCCCTCCCTGAACCCCCAGTGACGCTGAACCTACCCCTGACAGAGCTGTCTGAATCAAAGACCTCACCCGAGGGCACTCTGGACATCAACAACCATTGCCCCAGACTGAATGGAAACAGGCGGCAGCGGGCAGTCCGTAAGTACAGGCCTCCTGCGATGGGGGACACGCTGACCCCTGATATGGGGCCCAGGCCCAGGCCCCGAGGCCCACACCACCGTGAACCTCAAACAGATGCCAGGGGTAAAGAAACACCACAAGGAGACGGTGGTGTTGACAGTAGAGAACAAAGGCCATGGAATGAGGGAGATGAAAAGGATTCAAAGAATGATGGAGAGATCAGTCCAGATGGCAGGGTGCTTGAACAGAGGTAGTTTGTTTAATTATTTCTTTTGATTTATATAATTGTATCAATTTATATACACAACTGTTCAAAAGTTTGGGCACAGTATTTTATTTATCTAAAGAAAAGTATTACTTCTATTTAGCAAGGACAAATTACATTGATCAAAAGACATTTATGATATGACAAAAAATCTTTTGTTCTTTTGAACTTTCTATTCATAAAATAACCTGAAAACATTGTATCATTGTTTCGACAAGAATATTAAGCAGCACAACTGTTATCAACACTGATAATAATAAGAAATGCTTCTTGAGCATTTCATCAGCATGTTAAAATTATTATTGAAGGATCATGTGACACTGAAGACTGGAGTAATGGCTGCTGAAAATTCAGCTTTGCCATGTAAAACAAACATGAACGTCATGTTAACCACAGAACCTATTTTACTCATAAATCAAAAGCTGCTATTCCTAAAACCCATTAGAACTTTGTGAGGAAACTAGCGAATTGGCCTTCCAGGTTGATCTACAAATTGACATCATGACTGAACAGCTCTATTCACATCACATCATGGTGACAGTTTACATTAATTTCACATATACCTATCAATTTTTTATGTCCAAGTACACAATATTCTTTGTTGGAAGACTGGAGAGAGAAATTCGGCTATTAACTTCTCTCCTTCCACAGGCAGAACAAACCAGACAACTCTGAATCATCAGAAACCAAACCAACCAATTCCCCCCACAAAAACCCACCTCAGGACTCAGAACCTGCAACTCTACAGCTCACTGACAGCACTCTCCAGCAGTCCCCACAGGCAACTTTGGGTGCCAGCGAGACCGATAATAACAACCACGGATGCTTGAATCAGGATAAGTCCTCCTTCAACACCAGCATCATGATAGAGGTCACCGACACTCAGCCATCCATGGAGCTGACCTCCATTACGGGTTTGAGCATCCCTGCACCACTGATAACCCTATTGATAAGATCAGCTAGACTGATTGTTGTTGGTTAGTGCTGGATTGGTGCTAGTCTAGCTAGAGGAGACCAGCAGAACCAGGCTGTTCACTAGCAATGACATGGCCATTAACATGCTCTTTTTGATGAAGCTAGATAGCAAAAGAACATTTTGCTGGCTAAGCTACTTAAAAATCCTAGTAGTAACACCACCAAATGAGTTCATCCTCAGATTTGACTTGTGACTTTGATTCCGTTGTATTTCTCATATTTTTTTCATAAAGATTTTTAGCAAATTAATTATTTCTATTTTATATATTCCAATATATTCTATAGAAGATCTATAATACTTAATGTAATACAATATTATAATAATGTAATATTACATAATAGGGATGCTCCGGTCGATCGGCCGGAGATCGGTATCGACCGATAATCACATTTTATGACTCGATCTCACAAACCGATCGCAATTTGATGACGTCAGTGCGTGAGGACGAACATGATGCGTACGCCGGTGTGGAAATGTTATGATGTTTGAGAAACAATGAAAAATTCGTCATTTGTCGTGTATGTTTCACATGATGATATGATGAATGGATGGTTAATTTTTAACAGCAGATTCAGTGACGTTAGAGCTGATCTGCACCTCACTGCACACGTCTATGGCGCGTTACGGCTCCACGGGAACCAGAGCTGATCGCGGCCACTCTAGTCAGTGCTTGTGTTTATGAGCCAGCCGCGGCACGTTTCTGAAGAGGCTCTCTGCGCTGCTTGGTTACAATAGTCTTTTGTGAGTTGGCACAGCGTGGAGGACAGAACAAAACCTCTTCAGAGCCGTAAGGGGTAACGGTAACATAACACGCTGATCGTGGGCTGCTTTTAAATGAACATTTATTTATAAAACAAAATATCTTTTTTGGCCATATTAGCCTGCTCAATAGCTTTAACACAGGCTTTACTTCTTTCAAACCTTATCTGTAATGTCACCATTTCTGTCACTGCAACTTCCCGATCAGGCGAACACACACACACAAATGAAATCGTCTGCCTGATGAAAAAAATTATTTTAAAAAATGTAGTTAATATTTGCATAATTTATGATTTATTTTATCCACCCGCGACCCGCCCGCAAATAATCAGAATGCATTTTTTTATTACCCGACCCGCGGATTATCCACAGCGCCCGTGGATATAACCGTGACCGAACTGTTTTGTTCTTTCAGTAGTTTAAAGGTTTCTATTACTTTTTTCCTCCTCAGTCTTATATTGGACAGTATTAAACCTTATGAGTTACATCAAACTACTCCAATTAGTTCTTTAGTTTTGTCCTGCTCAGACTTGTATTAGACAATGTTTAAGTTACATCAGACTTCTCCATTTTAGGAGATTAAATGTTTATTTTGTCCTCCACAGTTTACTGTTGGATAATGTTTAAATAAACCTTGTGGGTTGCATCAGACTGCTCCATTTTGTTTGTATTTATTTTTGTCTTATATTAAGTATCCTGATAATGTTATGCATAAACCCCATTCTAAAGGCATATTAAAATGTTCAATGTATAAGGAATCATTTTTGTTATTATTTATATAACATTATTACATATATTATATAAAGCTTGAAGATTCAGAATTGGCATCGGTATCAGCATGCCATAACAAGAAATCGGTACTCATATCAGCTGCAAAAATCCTGATCGGAGCATCCCTATTACATAAGTATTTCTACATAATATTTATCCTATATAATATCTATGCAATAGCTATATTAGTAATATTGTGCAACAAGCTCCTAGTTGTCTTCATTTAATAAGTCATACTGAGATGAAAACATTAAAATAACACAAAAAATAAAAAATAACAATAAATTTGGGCTATTATATTTTTATTATAGATAGATGATATATAATGTCTATTTAATATTTTTATATTATATATATATATATTAGGGGTGTGCACGAATAGTCGAATATTCGAATTCCAGCTTTGCTGGCCATAAATGCTGTAGCCTAAATCCCTGATAAATCCTGAGCACGCAAATTTGTCAAGTGAAACTGATTTATCACTAAAATAAGGAATCATATGAAATACAAACACCTAAATGTCTTTCTAGTTTAATAAAGAAAAAACAGCGGCACATCACTGCATTCACTGCAGGTAGGCGCAGATGTACCCCGAGTGAGGCCGAGAGATCACTCACTTTCTCTGCTGCTGGCTTTATTGTTAACAGACTAAGGCCGTGTATCCACCAAAGCGTTTTTTCTCGAGGCTAGCATATTTTATCAATAGTTTTCAATGGGAGTGCCACATTTTTTAAGACATCAGCAGTACAACAAAGCTAATAAATGTTCAACTTTGGGCAAAACGCACTGCTCTTCACTGTCAGTTTTCAGTCAGCCGTCCAATCACAGTGGAGAATGGGCGGGGCAAAAAACACACTGAATTGATATATGAAATGTTGCATGCATTATTTTAAAAATAATGCATGCAACATTTTATTTGTGATGCGTCTGCCACATTACTTCAGTGGCTATTCTTTATCACAGCAACCAAAGTGCCTCCATAGCGCTCGCAAGCGTTCACAGCTAGGCATATTCAGAAGAGCACCTGGCGTTTTCAGCTGGCTAAAAATGCTTTAATGGACACACAGCATGTACATGTGGGGGTTTTTTTTCAACAAGAACATATGAAACAATGCAAACACGATAACCACATGCCAGCTCGAGTGTATATGTATGTGCTTTATAGCCATTTTTTCCATTCGCTCTGCACTCTGTGTTGAATGCTTTTTTTTCTGTACTTTTTTGTTTGCACATATTGTTTAATGTTTTCAAATGAAAGAAAAAAAACACAGGATATATAATTTATAACTTTGTTGTGCATATAGCCTGATAAGATTGTTCAGAAATGGTGATAAGATAAGTGAAGTGACATGTGGCCAAGTATGGTGACCCATACTTGGAATTTGTGCTCTGCATTTAACCCATCCAAAGTGCACACAGTGAACACACACACCCGGAGCAGTGGGCAGCCATTTATGCTGCGGCGCCCGGGGAACAGTTGGGGGTTCGGTGCCTTGCTCAAGGGCACCTCAGTCGTGGTATTGAAGGTGGGAGAGAGTGCTGTACATTCACTCCCCCCACCTACAATCCCTGCTGGTACGAGACTCGAACCCGCAACCTTTGGGTTACAAGTCCGACTCTCTAACCATTAGGCCACAACTTTCCACATTAGATTGTTCATATTTATATATGTGTGTGTGTGTGTGTATATATGTATAATATATATATAATGTATTATGTAAATATACTATATACAGTGGGTACGGAAAGTATTCAGACCCCCTTAAATTTTTCACTCTTTGTTATATTGCAGCCATTTGCTTTCACTGGTGTCTTCACATTTGAAATGATAATCAAAGTAAGTTCATGGATTGTTCTGGTTTTCATGTATGTTCCTCAGTTTGCAAAATTAAACTGTGTGTGTATATATATATATATATATACACTGTATATATATATATATATATATATTTTTTTTTTTTTAATAAATATGTATATATGTGTGTGTGTGTGTGTGTATATGTATAATAACCCCCTTAAATTTTTCACTCTTTGTTATATTGCAGCCATTTGCTAAAATCATTTAAGTTAATTTTTTTTCCTCATTAATGTACACACAGTACCCCATATTGTTTCTGAGCTCTTCAGGCAGTTCCTTTTGACCTCATGATTCTCATTTGCTCTGACATGCACTGTGAGCTGTAAGGTCTTATATAGACAGGTGTGTGGCTTTCCTAATCAAGTCCAATCAGTATAATCAAACACAGCTGGACTCAAATGAAGGTGTAGAACCATCTCAAGGATGATCAGAAGAAATGGACAGCACCTGAGTTAAATATACAAGTGTCACAGCAAAGGGTCTGAATACTTAGGACCATGAGATATTTAAGTTTTTCTTTTTTAATAAATCTGCAAAAATGTCAACAATTCTCTGTTTTTCTGTCAATATGGGGTGCTGTGTGTACATTAATGAGGAAAAAAAATAACTTAAATGATTTTAGCAAATGGCTGCAATATAACAAAGAGTGAAAAATTTAAGGGGGTCTGAATACTTTCCGTATCCACTGTATGTTGTTATCATATCTTTCTCAGATGATTGAGCAGGGTTTGATCTTACACGATGGCTCCTATTTCCGTGACCTGTGGAACATTCTGGACTTCATAGTTGTGGTGGGAGCTCTGGTAGCCTTTGCTCTCACGTAAGTCAAATGATGAACAAGTGTAATTTAGCATTTTGTTGGTAAAGCTGAAACATATTGATTAAGCTTTTTAGGTGCATTGCTCAAATGTTTTGTTATTCATCTTCAAATTCCATTAATGTTGTGTGATAACTACATGACTTATGTGAGAAAAAACATTCAGACATTTCAAATTCTTGACACATATTGATGTTAGTTGATGCTCTCTTTTTTGTGTTGTGAGTGTAAAACACTTCTTTGTTCATTGAGAAGCTCTTTGATTCAGAATGCCTGTCTGTTTCTCATTTTTTCTCTGTTGGTCTTCTTGTGGATTGTGGCTCACGGCATCTGGCAGGAATGTGATGGGGTAAACACATTCTCTAGTGATTTTGCGTGTGTGTGTGTGTGTTTGTACATGAGAAGTAGGACAGTTTTTTATTTAGTTACATGTTTTCATGCTATACAGGAGTAACACAGGAAGAGACATTAAAACCATCAAATCACTCCGTGTTCTCAGAGTATTGAGGCCTCTTAAGACTATTAAAAGACTTCCCAAACTCAAGGTATGTGAACATGAAAGGAATACACAACCGTTCAAAAGTCAGGGGTCAAAAGGTTTGTTTGTTTGTTTTGAAATAAATTAATACTTGTATTCTTTATGAATGCATTAAATTGATCAAACATGACAGTGAAGTGTTACACAAGATTTCTATTTCAAATAAATGCTGTTTTATTTAACTTTCTATTCATCAAAGAATCCTAAAAAATGTATCACAGTTTCCACAAAAGCATTAAGCAGCACTCCTTTTTTAACATTGATAATAATAAGAGATGTTTCTTGAGCAACAAATGAGCATAGTAGAATTATTTCTGAAGGATCATGTGTTTTACTGTAGTTTTGATAAAATAAATTCAGCTTTGGTGAGCGTAAGAGGTTTCTTTAAAAAAAATAAAGATTTTTTAAGAATCTTTTTGACCCCTGTGTGTGTGTGTGTAGGTACAAATCTTTGTTGAATTGTAAGACATTACTGGATTAGGCAATTAGTTGAATACTTGATTAGTTGAACAGTGTGTGTGTATCTACGTTGTTCATTTTGAATTATTTGAAGTTGATTATTTGACAAATGTAGTCAGCAAAGCAGCAGAATGAGATCAATGAGATAAGAGGGAAGGTGATGAAACTCTCTTGCCATGTGTGAAAAGACTGCATTAGTATTTTCAGTTCCCAGTCCTCACAATCTGACAGAGCTCTCAGTGTGTGTGTGTTTGTGTATCTTGGGTTTGTGGTGTAAGAGGTGGAGAAAGAGCCAGTAATGTGTGGAAAAAAGAGGCAAAGTGATAGTGTGAGAGACAGATTTAAGAGACAGACGGACAACTGCTTTTCTAAAGTAGAGCAAATTTCATTAGAGACTTAAGTGTTGCAAATATCTCAGCTGGGAAAAGATAGCTTTTTTAACTGCTTTAATTTTGTACTGACCATTACAATAACACTTTAGCACAACAGTCAAATGAAATATTTAGAATATCACCAAAGAATGGTAAAATAAGTCCGTTTTACTGTACATACAAGAAAAACATAAACGCAAAATGTTGAAATTCTAAAATTACCAAAATAAAAATGAAATAACAATAAAGTTAAATAGAAATGATAAAATTGTCATTATCTCTCATTGTTCTTTCTCTCTTTTTGATTTGCAGGCTGTGTTTGACTGTGTGGTCACATCGCTAAAGAATGTCTTCAACATCCTCATCGTCTACAAGCTCTTTATGTTCATATTTGCAGTCATTGCAGTGCAACTTTTCAAAGGGAAATTTTACTACTGTACCGACAGTTCCAAGGACACAGAAAACGAGTGCAAGTGGGTGCCCATTACATCTGCAATATAAATTCTAAATATAATGCTAAAATTAATTTTAAAGCTGCTCAGACATTATTCAAAGCTCAGAAGACTAGAAAATGTCATTGCTGCTATGAATAGAAGAATTACATTTTAGGAGTGCAGAATCTTCTCTGCAAATGATGTGGAAAAAAATTTTTCTTAATGTTTTATAGGGGTTACTACATTGACTATGACAAAGACAAGAAAAAGGAGAAACGAGAGTGGAAGAGACGTGATTTTCATTATGATAACATAATGTGGGCTTTGTTGACTCTCTTCACTGTATCCACTGGCGAAGGGTGGCCGCAGTAAGAGCCAACTTTATTATATATGTTTTCACACTGTATCATTTTGACACACTTATTAACACCTGAAGGAGATTAACATTCTACTTAACACCTTTCTAGAAGCTGTGCTGATATTTGCATATTCAGAAACTCACATTTTCACCTTCTAGAGCAGTGGTTCTCAACCTTTTTTACTACAAGGCCCCTCTCCTCTCCACATCAATACTGCTATGCAAGCATATTTTGCAAAAACTTAAAAGTACTTACTCTGCTCAGTTATACAGTAATTTCAGAACTAAACACACCAAAATACAAATGAAAATAAAAATGAATGTGTGGAAACTGGGTTGACATCACCAGTGAACACTTCCTCTTTCAGAACAAGCAGTTGTGTCTATGTTTGGAGTGTCTGATGCCCATATGTACATAAACACCACTGATCCTCACAAACTTCTCCAAAACGTATTCGATAAGCATCCATTATTAAACACTCAAAGTACATTCATTTTGACAGCTATGTGTATATATTTCAGTGTTCATGCAGAAATACGATACAAGAGCAGGTGCGCCTAATGTACAACTCCCGTATGTCACTGTACTTTGATTATAGTCATCATCAATCAAAATTTTACTAGTGCGACACTGGTTTGTTTTATCCAACCAAGAGCTGTAATTTGCGTATCATATGCTCCTGCGGTTGTTGGGTGTTTTGAGCTGCTGTTTGTAGCAGAGAGAGAGGTGGTGCTTTGTTAATTTTTTTATTTAACATATAAATTGTAAAATTAATGAATAATATGAATATATTTCATTTAAATTTATCTCATGGCCTCTCTGGAGAATCAGTGATGCCCCATAGTGGCCCACAGCCCCCCCTCGTTGAGAACCACTATTTTGGAGGAAACTTAAACAATTTTTTTATAAAATAAAAAAAATACTTGCTGTTCTCTCCATTTTTTTTGTGTTTATTTTATTACTGAGAGGAAAGCGTGCAGCACATATTTACATATTCATATAAACATCACTTTCATCAGAGTGGGCGGCGTCGGGATGTTCGATAACAGTATACCGCTGCTCACGTATTTCGAACTTCATTTTACCCCTAAACGAAGAACGAACTTTGTTTTGAGTATATCGGGGCCTTAAGACATGTCAGATAATACATTGCCAACAAACCTGAATGTTCAACAAGGCAAAAAGGGGTAGAACTGATGCATTTTTTTCAGTCATACATAAATAAAGCAGGTAAGATTTCTGTAATAACACTAGTAAACAGAATGTTTAAATAGTGTTTTAAAGAAGTGTTTTAAATATGCAGGAACCTTTTGTTGTATCTGATATTTCAAAAATCATTGCTTGCAGCACCTTTAAGCCACACTTGTGTGAATCCCATTACATTAGATTAATATCAATTCAAGTTCAAATCAACTTTTTTTTTTTTTACAGTGATTTTAAACCAACTAGTCTATAGGTGATTTTAGTATGTGTATGAAGTCAGCTCCCCTCAAGTTCGGACAGGTGTCCTAGCAGAGGAACCACAGATGTGGTTCATCACATTAACTATTCACATGTTCCACTAATGTTTGGCAGCCAAAAAGTGTCCAAATACTATATATCATAGATAAACGTATAAAGTTTTGTCTGTTAACAAAGTCTTTGGTATTGTAGAGTTTTGCAGCACTCTGTGGATGTGACCGAGGAGGACCGGGGTCCCAGTCAGGGAAACAGAATGGAGATGTCCATCTTTTATGTCATTTATTTTGTGGTGTTCCCCTTCTTCTTCGTCAACATATTTGTGGCCCTCATCATCATCACCTTCCAAGAGCAGGGTGACAAAATGATGGAGGAGTGCAGTCTGGAGAAAAACGAGGTGACTGATCCCGTTTTTATGTTCATGTTGCAAATCCAGCCGAGTACATGTGTGTAGTATAGTAATGTGTATAGAAGCAATTGCACACACTTGAGGCAACACAAAGAAAAGTATTGATGTTCTTATGTGATTTGCTGTTGAATGTTTATCAGAGCGCTGCCACTTGTGCATACGGCATGAGTGCTTTTCATAGAAGTATTCATTTTCTTCACTTCAGCAGTCTCAAAGGACCTTTTGAATGAGAAGTGCTCCAGATTCAAGACATTATTTTGACATCCAAATATTTTTGCATGTCTTATCAACCCAAAGCTAATGTAGCTGAAATTGGCATGTGTATCTTCATTCATGGCAAACTCAGAGATAAATCTACTTCTGCACTTCCTTCCCTTTGATATCTTTTATTTCCTACTAGTCTTCAAAAAGAAGTAGGCCAGGAACAGTGTCAAAACAAAGTTAAATGGGTTTCTTTTGGTTTAGGTTACTGCATGCATGTTCAGGTTTATTTATAGTATAGAGTCAATCGATAAAAAAAACTAATTAATCGCGATTAATCCCACCTAACGTTAAAGTGATTAAATATACTTTTATATTGAAATAATTTCATATTCAATCTTTAAATTGATGAAGAAACAACATTAAGACTAACATTAAGAGTATATTTTTAATATTTAATGACATCTTTTTATGACTGAAGGTGAATATCACTGATACCCTTCAGCAAGTAGGAAACAGTGGCGGCTCGTGGGTTTTAAAATAGAGGAGGCACACTAATTGTATTGGTCTGGGATCCCTGCCGATTATTATTATTATTATTATTATTATTATTTGCTTAACCACTTTAAAATGGCTTTTTAATTGCTTTTAGTCAGAAAACGTAAAGAAAACGACATACATACAGCAAGATAATATAATCTCACTTACCTGGCCTGTCACTTGAAGCAAACATCCATCCCTTCTTAAAAGTCTGTGTTAAAAGAGAGCTGTCTGTTGCACCATTTAATTAAGCCGACTGCTGTAGCCTATATCCAGCTTAGGCTGTTTTCCCTAAATTTGTATATATACTGTTTGAATGACAGCTTGGTAAATCTGTTGGCAATCAAATATTCAATATTGCTACTCATCATAAGTACTTGGTACATTATCAGCGCAGCGGCCGACGTTCCAACTAATATCACATAATTTACGTCTATTTGATGATTGGTTGATATCAGAAGGGAGGCTAGCCTCCCTTGCAAGGGTCCTTTTCTCAACACTCCTTAGCTCTGAAAGTGAACACTCGATGCTGATTGGCTAATTTTTTTTTACCAACGGAGGCACGAGAGCTCAGCTCTCCCGGCCTCCCCCTCCCCTTCTATATCACTTAGCGGTTGTAATTACATCAGCAGATTCGGCACATTCGCGATAGAAGAGCAGTGCTTTCATGTTATGGTATTACAACTGTGAAATTACAAACAAAAAATACACATTCTGAGACATGAACTGAAATTAATTGTGAATTTTATTAACATTAAATCGTCCTCCTCCCATTTTCACCTAAAAATTATGGGGAAGCTGTGCCTCCCCTGCCTCCCACGAGCCGCCACTAGTAGGAAATATACAGAAAGTTATCAAACACTAAATTCTAAATTAAATATTAAATCCTTAAAGCCACAGAAGTTATTGATTTCCTCTTTTTTCTTTTGTTCTTTGATTTACAGACATCACAGCAGCTGGTTATTAGGTTATTTTGGCTGCTTTAAGAGCTGATGCTGCTGACCATGACGCAGATCTGACACACATCGTATTTTCTCACAACTCTTTGCTTTTCTGACCCACTTCAGGTCTTAAAGTGTCTACTAATGAGCTGACAGTGAATCGGGTGTGTTAGATGAGGGAGACAGTGCTGGGGTGCTCCAGGACAGTTTTGAAAACCACTGCATTTCAGAGACATGTTCTTAAATGTGACTCATATATAACAGACACTTACATGCACAGTTTAAGGCAGCTTTAATCGCCTTTTTGACTTAACTGATGACATAGCTACGACATTGCATGCTTGTAGTTTCATTTGCGATTTAATATGAAGTTATATACAGAGCGTGCAACTGCATTTGTGCATGCAATTGAAGAGCACGTGCTACGAGCACAGCATAACGGCTGACAGGACAGGAAAATTAGTTTTTACTGACATATGGCCTGACAACATCTCATCTGACCAAAGTTGACCAAATGTGTGCTTATTTATTTATTTTCTCTGTCATGCCCTCTGTCAGTCCACTCAGAAAAATAAAAAAATTCTGTCATTTACCCACCCTTGTGTTGTTACAAATCTGAATGCATTTAATTATTTTGCTGCGCACAAAAGATTATATTTTGAATTATGTTGGTAACCAAACTGTTTTGGGTCCCATTGATTTTCATAGTATTTTTTGTCCATACTATGGAAGTCAGTGGAACCTGAAATCATTCGTTGGGTAGACTATCCCTTTAACCATCAATAACGTCATATTAGCTTTTTTTCTCAGACATTGTGACCTGAATCGTGCACAAAAGTGCAAGCAATCTTATGTAATCTTATGTGAGGTTAATTGCAAATGTGCGAGAAACATTCTTACTGTATATTTCTCTCTTAGAGGGCTTGTATCGACTTTGCCATCAGTGCCAAACCTTTGACTCGCTATATGCCTCAGAACAGACAGACCTTACAGTACCGGCTGTGGCACTTTGTGGTGTCTCCCGTATTTGAATACACCATACTGACGATGATTGCCCTTAACACCATTGTTCTCATGATGAAGGTAAGAAGGAATTTCTTTATGTTGCTGCACTGTGATCTGTTTGTTTATTTATTTATTTATTCATTCATTCATTCATTCATTCATTTATCTTATTAATAGCCATGCAAAAATACTTTCCCTCCACTTTGCATTGAGGTATGCTGAAGCAGAATGGGTTTACTTGCAGTAACCGTACATTATGCCTTAAATATAATGACAGAAATGGAAGGATATATTATTCTTTTAGGTGTCTTTGTTATGAAAATAAACTTATTTTAAGCCTGTGAGTATGTACCTCTTTCTAAATACCTCTTTCTCTATGTGTGTTTGTCAAAGTAAATTGGGTTGATTTAGCTGTTTTTCAGCCCCTGCTGGTGACCCCTGGTCTGTGATACTGCTAGAAAACCAGACAGCCATGAGTCACAGCTTATAAAATATTGATCTGAAGCACCAGCTACTATTTAACTTTTCCTCATTAGCTTTAGCCTGACATCTCCCGTGACTAATTTCACCTGGAGATATAGGTCGGCCTCCACTAGTCATCATGTCTGCAGTGGTCTGCCTAACACTGGAGCACAGAGAGAGTAATATAGCAGATATTTTTAGGTAGTGAACTGAAGTGTGAGCAGTTTCCTTTCTCTCTGTCTGTCTTATTCATTTAGTTTTCAGTTTTAATTTTCAAAGTGCTTTATTGGCAAATTATCATCCGTCAAGTTTTTAATTTTATCGTGAAATGTAGGTGTTCCACAATAGAATGGCTCTAGACCTGAATATGTGTAAAATGATGCTTACTGTAAATAGCTATTTGGCTATTGCTTAACATTATCTGTAAGCCTGCATGGCCTAAGTGACATTAGTAGAAAAGGAATGTCTGTTTTATAATTAGGTCTTAAGTAGTTTGAATACTTGGGCAGTTTTAAGAAATAGTTGAAGTTTAAAGGCTCTCTGTACTTTGTATACTTGTGTTACATAGTTGTTGCCATACTCAGTGGTTGCCAAGACATTGCTAGGCAGATGTGTAGGGTTTCTAACAGAGCTATTGAGAAAGAGTTGCGTCAATGGAAGTTCAAAATGCTTGATCATCACGTGATTCACATAGAAGTTCATGAAGTTTGTTTGTCTCTCTTTTTTGCTTTCTATCAGCATCATGATCCTCGTATTGAAGGTTATGACAATGCTCTAAAATACCTCAACACTGTGTTCACTGTTATTTTCACTGTGGAATGTGTTCTCAAGATCCTGGCATTTGGAATTATGGTAAGCACACACTTGGAATATGATAATCTCTCTCTGTATATATATATATATATATATACACTGTGTACATATATATACAACGAAATGCATTTCCAGCATTCATTATTACCTTTATATCTTTCAGAATTATTTCAGAGACACATGGAATATATTTGACTTCATCACAGTCCTAGGAAGCATCACTGAAATTGTGGTTGACAAAGTCCACACTGTAAAAGTGAGAAATCAGTCAGCCTCATATACAGTATGTGTTCTTTGTAGGCAGTAGTCGTTTGCATGAGCAATTACGTCTGTATTCAAATTGCTTTTTAGCCAGTATTTATTTGCACTAGCAAGCTTCTTTGTGTTTTGATTGCAGTATACGCCATATTTATTTCCTCAAGCAATGACCTTTATATACTGATTGGTTTTTGTCCAGTATTTATTTGCACAATCACCTCTGTGTTCTGATTGGTTTGCAGGGTTTTAATATGGGCTTCCTGAAGTTATTCCGGGCAGCTCGGCTGATTAAACTTCTGCGTCAGGGCTACACCATTCGTATTCTGCTCTGGACTTTTGTCCAGTCCTTCAAGGTCAGACATAGCTTTTACTGCAGTAGCACTACATTGAAATGCCTTATTCCTTTTTGTATTTATCTTCTAAACACTCTTTTTGCTTTTATTTGAACAAAAGCCACTTAATATAAAATATTTTCTTTCAGAGAATAGATTCAGAGTTCTCATAATGCTGTTTCTACAGTTTCATAAAAGCCTATCAAAGTTTTGCACTGCATTGGTTTTTACAAAATGTTACTTCCACTTTAAACCATTAAACATTTGTTTTGTAACAATAATGATACGTTCTACTTTAATCAGCTTTTTTTTGGGGGGGGGGGGGGGGGCGGGGATGCGGGGAATGAGTTTTGTTCTTGCTATTCAATAACTACCAGCAATTATGTAATTGTAATATTTGCACATTATTGAAAAATTATCTGTCTTTATCAAGCATCTGGGTTACATAGTTTATTCATGGAAAGAAAATCATTCCACCTATGCTTCAAACTGTCATTTTACCTAAAACTTTAACACTAAAACTTTGCAAGCACTGGTATTTTCATTAGGAAATGTAAATATAATTTTATATTCATTTGTGAGTTTAGTGCTTAACATGAGATTCGTCTTGCAGGCTCTTCCATATGTTTGTCTGCTAATCGCCATGCTGTTTTTCATCTATGCCATCATTGGCATGCAGGTAAAGGTTGTCTTGTTCCCCAGACTGTCTGTTTCCATCTTTATATTCTTCTCTCTGTCTCTTCCTTTGTTTCTTTGCCACCTTTTCTTTTACTTTACCTCGATAAGCCTGTAAATGTGACAGACACCTTTTATGTGTTTGTAATTTCATCAAAGGTATTCGGCAACATCAAGCTAAATCCCAAAACCCAAATCAACGAACACAATAACTTTAGGACATTTTTTGGTGCTCTCATGCTGTTGTTTAGGTAAGATTAATTTCTTTCTTTGTTGTAAAAAAAAAAAAAAAACGGTGCTACATTTTATGGTGTGTTGATTATTTTACTATGACGCCAATACAATGAAGCAGTCCACCTTTTGGACATTAATAAATCTGACTTAATTTATAATATACATATGTGTGTGTGTGTGTTTAGGAGTGCAACAGGTGAGTCATGGCAAGAAATCATGTTATCGTGTTTAGGAGAGAAGGATTGTGAAAAAGACGAATCACTCAACAACTCAACAACAAATGAGAAAAAAGATTGTGGTACCGAATTTGCATACTTCTACTTTGTCTCCTTCATCTTCTTCAGTTCTTTTCTGGTGAGAGGCAATTCATTTTAATGACACAAATACATAGCATTACAAACCTGTACACTGAAAACCCACACACTTAAGACCTATTCACACCAAATCCATTTTTTTGGCACATAAAATATATATGGCAAGTTTTTAAAATGGAAAAAAACTTGTATACTTGAAAACATGAATATCCGCCACTGCTCAACATTCTTACCTTCACTCAATACCTTTCTGCTTTTCTGTCTGTTTCTCCGTCTCTATTTTCACATCTCTAATTCTCTTTCAGATGCTAAATCTGTTTGTGGCCGTGATCATGGATAATTTTGAGTACCTGACGCGTGACTCGTCCATTCTGGGTCCTCACCACTTGGATGAGTTTGTACGGATCTGGGGAGAGTATGACCGTGCAGCATGGTGAGAGATACAGCTTTCCAGTCCTTTCAGTTGAACACATGCAAATGCAATACAGATGTACAATTAAAAAAAACACACTGTGATTTACTTGGTTAACATTTTCTCATTCTGCAAAAATATTTTATTTTTGAATTGATTATAATACATTTATGAAAAACATACAATTGTTTATTAACAATTGTTTTTTTGTTTTTTTTTAAAGTATGCTTTATGAATGTCATATTTTTAAAAATGTACAGGGAAATTTGCATTGTAATTGTCAGTAATGTTTCTGTTTCTTTCTTTACACTAATTTGAAACCCTGCAGAATTACTTAAAGGGGTCGTATCATGAAGAATCTTTTTTTTTTGGTCTTTTGAGATTAAAGAGTTCATTACACTAAGAAAGCAAACTGTTGCTGAATTCGAACCCCATTTACTGACACTACGCTGCAGAAAATGGTCATTTGAGCATTTACTTTCAAAATGACAGTATATTCTAAGAGTCAGAGAAAGGGTGTAAAACAAAAGAGCTATATCATGATGGCTTTTGGTTCAGAAAACGTTACTAATGTATGATATGACCCCTTTAAAGTGTGTTTCATGAAAAATAACCACTCCTACTACATGTGTCTTGAAGTTGTCTAATTTACTGTTAACGACCAGTATTTCCTTCTCCAGTGGAAAGCTACACTATAAGGAGATGTACAAAGTAGTACGCACAATATCACCTCCTCTGGGCTTTGGAAAGAATTGCCCCTACAGGGTGGCATGCAAGGTTTGGCTCACCCACGAAAAACTTCCCCTCTGCCTCTCTCTCCTCTTCTCCTTTTGTCATTCCCCACACCTTCACTAGCTAACACCCCTCACCCCCCTCTTGTTCCCGTGATCTACTCTAGTGCTTTCCACCGGGTCAAAGACTGGCAGAGACAAGAGCTCAGCGCACAGAGAGACAGCTCATCCCTTTGGCCCGCGTCCCGCTCCTGAAGTGTGAATAACTGCTGCAGTTAATGACACTGAGAGCCATCCATCAGTGAACTCCATTAGATAATATCTAACACTGTCAATGGATGTTAGTGGGGATTCAGTCTCTCTGTGTCTGAATTGGATTTGGGGCTTTTATTGAACATTATTTGAGGAGGGCAGACTCCTCATATTCGCCATTGCCTCACCTGTTTGAAAATCAAAAGAACATTATGCTCATCTCTCCCCTGACCTACCACAGTGGCAGAAATTCATTTTATATTTTTAAAGGGGAAATATTTACTACTTGAAAGTTTTTACCTTATGAGGGCATACTTTTATAAACAATTTTTATTATAAAAAACTGTATGTTACATTTTGAATTAGAAAATTTGATATATTACATTTAATTTTACACATTATATAAAACAATTATATAAATATATTATAAAAAATATTATATTTAATCCCACGTATATAGTATTTGTATTTTTCTATTTGACTGTATTTTTATGGTTATTTTTTATATTTATGCATTATATTTATTAAATATTATTTATACACTTATACATGAACAAAAATTTTAAAACTTCAGAAAGTCATGACTTTTCTTTTTTTTTTTGCTTCCACAAATCGAACTTTGCTGCCATTTGTTAATTTCTGGCTCTGAGCACAATGCCCCTTCTGGGTTATGTATTATAATAGCAGTGCTTCCTTTTCAATACAGCTAGTCAAATCCTCAGATCCACCTGCTTGACTCATCAGATCTTTGGCTGTTTTAATATTTTCTCTCCTTTAGCCTCTTCTATGCCTGCATTGCATAGAAAGACCTCCACCTGACCTCACCTCTACGTTTAATCAGTTTCCCTTTTTGACAGTTTTTCCTTTAAGTATGAAACACATTAAAATGACCTTCCCTTTCCTGTTTCTTCCTTCTCCTTCTATTTTTCTGTTGTTTCCTTTTTCCTCTATGCCAATCTTCCTCTCCTCCCTCGTTCCTTGGAAATGCCCAATTCTTCTTCCTCCTCCTCCTCTTCATCACATTGCCCCTGGTGACTGCCCCCTCCTAGTGGCCGTATTCATTACACTGATATGTACGAGATGCTGACCTGCATGTCGCCACCGCTTGGCCTGGGCAAGAAATGCCCCTCCAAAGTGGCGTATAAGGTAGTCTGCAGTATTATGATTTGAATGAAGTCTGCTCGTTTTCAAGAGGCTCAAGCTCAAGGCTGTAGTTAAAGTGTCCCCAAGATGTATTTGGACACTTTAGTCAAACTTTAAATAATATGAATACTGTATCTTTGCATTATGTAAAAGCATATTGAGCCAAGTGAGAATGATTTGTGAAACACAAGTTAACTAAAAGTTTTGCACTTGGTTTTATGTTTTCTATCTAGTTACATTTTGAGTAACTTAAATTGTTTTAGGGCCACTGTATGCAAATAATTGCAATACATATATCTATACAGGGCTCCAGACTGCGATTAAAACGGTCAACTTGAACAAACTACAATAGGTAAAGCTGTCAGTGTCACAATTTGCTGTGGGAGGAACGACAGAGAAACGCTCCAGAAGGATAACAGAAGGAGTTACGACAGTGAAAGACGTATGTGACGAGTGGCGAATGGGGCCGACTCCTCTGCTCCCTCTCGGACAGCAGCCACCCCTCTTCGACCCAGGAGCGCAGCAGCGAGCTCTCCATCCCACCTAGTCTTCCATCGTTCCAGCACCACCGCCTCGGGCAGCCACCGGCGGTCTCTCCGCTTGTTCCTGCTGCCCGATCTCCTCAGCACCGCGATCCCCCTCAGCAGCGAGGGCTCGCTGACAGAGTGTCCCTCCTTCCTCCTGGGTTTCGGCACCAATGTAACAAAGTTCGTAGCTCGGGAAGAAGGAGGCGGAACCGGCAAACATTCAAAGAAAACTTTAATAATAAAATAAACACAAAATAGCGCGACAGCCCCTCGCGGACGACTGTCGTGCACAAACAGAACCAAAACACAAAATAAAGTCCAGGCCTGGTCCTCTCTCGTCTTTCACTGTCGTAACTCTTCCTTTTATCCTTCCGGAGCTCCTCCGTGGGACTCGAGACCGGTGAGTGGTGCAAGTGTCGCTCATTATCAATTACTCCACCGGCCTCGCTCCGTTCCCACGGCTCTCGGCCCCGCCCCCACTCGTCACAGAAACCATTTAGACAAAAAAGGTTCTGTGGCATCGTGAAGCAACTTTATTTTTAAGAGTGTATGACAACATTTATAGGATGCACTGAGGAGGAGCCCAAACTACACTCAGTGGCCAAGTGATGCTTATGGTCCACGATATTGGTACTGATTCTGTGTAATGAACAATTCTTTGTGACTGTATATTTCAAGTTGGAAAAGACATTTAGTACCCACTTTAAGTGAACCTTAGTTCCCAGGTCATCTACAAGATGGATTAAAATGCTGATAAAGTCAAGAAACAATGAGACATAAACACATGACAGTATGATTGAAATATTAAAATGTAAAAAAATTTATAATAATAATAATAATAAATTTTAAAAAACACGTTTATTCTGTGGCACCTAAAAAAATTATTTGGCGCCTAAGTTTTTTTCATATAGGAGCCAATGGCTCCTTACTCGATTTTTTTGTCTGGAGCCCTGATCTATATGATTATTTGTAGACGATCAGTGATGTTATTTTTTGTCATTGAACTCTTAATCATCCTACTGTAAAGTCCCTGTACATCCACCAATTATACTTTATTTGAATATGTCACCTTAACATCTTCAAAACACTGTCATTACCCTGACATTTATTCCAGTGTTAAAGACATATTGCAAAGGGCATATTCATAAAGTGTGATCCTTTTCCAATTTCTATGCATAAATCTCTACTCTGTCTCTATCCAGTATACGTGTTTCAACTATGTGCATGAATGAGTGATGTTGTGACATCTTCTTGGTGTTAACTGTAGAAGTTAAAAGACAACTAAACCTAGATGACCATTAGATTACTATTTTAAAAACATGCTCTCTCCTTAGCTTTGCAATCCTTGTATTTCAATTGTCTTCTGTCCTTATGGTGACTTTCTCTCAGCGGTTGGTTCTGATGAACATGCCAGTGGATGAGGACATGTCCGTCCACTTCACCTCCACACTTATGGCCCTGATACGCACTGCGCTGGACATTAAAATCGCTCGAGGTTGGCACCATTAATCATTTTCAGTTTTGTAAAAATCAAACTTCCACTGGTTTGTCTTTTTTTTCACAATAATATTAGTTAAATGGTCTTTGTGTAACAGGGGGTGAGGACAGGGGTCAGATGGACATAGAATTGCAGAAGGAAATCAGTGTCATCTGGCCACACCTCTCCCAGAAATCTCTTGATCTGTTTGTACCCGTCCACAAAGGTGAGAGATCTGAATGATAATTTTTTTTTTCTTAAAGTTTTAATAGTGTGTTATTTTATTAATTTTTCGAGTATTATTCACCTTGCTCTTGACAGTTTAGCTTGTGGTACCATTGTTGTGCCCACTGACTCCCCTGAAAGTGAGTGTAATTTGCAGCCGGCATAGAAATCTTAGTTTTCTACAACAAACAAATCTTTCTTCCAGCTAGTGACATGACCATTGGGAAGATTTATGCAGCCATGATGATCATGGACTACTACAAGCAGAACAAAGCTAAGAAGCTCCGTCAACAGCTTGAGGAACAGGTAAAGATATCTTTTACCTTCTAAAGCACTAGAACTTCAGAGCTAAAGACTAGTTAACTCACAACCTCCCGCCTGTTTAATCAGCTTATATATGCAAAATTGCCATCTAACAGTATGGAGTGCTGTTTTTCTAACTGTATAGAATGCTGTTCATTTTACTGAAGACACATAACAGAAAAACCTTCATATCTCAGTTTGAAGTGTAAACGTCCTAAAGCTGGAAAGATGTACTGTTTTTCGGTTTACTGGATCTCTGTGTCACTGGAGAGATTGTGCTGACCATCTAATGTTGTCTTGCAGAAACATGCACCGATGTTCCAGCGCATGGATGCGTCTTCACTGCCACAGGAAATTCTCTGCAGTGCCAAAGCTCTGCCATTCCTGTCACACAATGCAGGATCTGCCCTGTAATTGTACCTGTTGTGTGTGTGTGTGTGTGTGTGTGTGTGTGTACCTACAGTACATTCGCCCTGTATCTGTCTGCACCAGTGTTATTTTAGTATCATTGATATACTAATATAGTTTTTGTTAATATTTTGAATGTTTTTATTTTTATATTTTCTCTTTTCATTTTAATTTTAGTTATAGTTTAAGTTGTTTGTTTGTTGTGTTTTTGCCATTTTAATTAGTTTATTTTTTTATTATGTCTATATAGTTTTTATTGTTTTAGTTTATTTAGTTTTAGTTGCTCTAGTACTTTTAACTTATACTAAATGAAAATGAGAAATGTTGCTTTGGCAACTAGCTTAAATATATTTCATTCAGAGGCGTCATGCCCATTCAGATTTTTGAGCCAAGGGGATTTTGAATGTAGCTTCCAAAAGACAAAAAATAGCAGAATAATATTTTCTATATTTGATACAATAACACCAGCATGGTTAAATCGTTCAGCGCGTCATATCATCAGCTGCTAAAATTCAAATCTGCGTTCGCTAGCTGGCGTTTTTACAGCACTGCGCATTATGACCAATCACACACGATGCTGTTGAGCTTATGAATGCAATGGCCAATCAGAGGTGTTCAGATGAGTCATTGCTAAAATGCTGGTGTTTTCTTTACTCGCTCGCTGTCTGAATTCCTCTTTCTGGCGAATTCTATCATTAGAAACAAACTGCAGATGTGTGTATGAATCTGTAAGTAAGATATTCATTTCACAGTGTAAACAGCTTCAGTGATTTTAATGGGAGTTTTTGAGAGTGCTTGAACTCTAGACTGTCAGTGAAAATGTTCTTTGATAATGTAAATGTTCTTTGCGCTCTTTCTGTACAATTAAAGTGTTATGATAAGTAGCCTAACTTACAATGTTTTTATTCACATTAACTTTCAATGTTAAATTCACATTAAATATAAAGTCAGTCGTATTAAAAATATGTTATGGCATGACACCC